TGCTTAAACCTCCAGAATGGCGGAATCCAGAATTTCAAAACCCTAGAATTTTAAATTTCCCTGGCGGGGATGTCGCCCGACACCCCTTAAATGCGCTCGCCCCCCCAAAGTCAGGGCTCTGGCTACGCCCCTGCATGTTATCCTTGTTTACCTAACTTCTTTAAGACAACACACAAAGACCAAGACCGAAAAAGTCATATTTAATGACTGCTCCATGTCATCTGCCACAACCATATTGAAGATTGCTAGTTCTAAAACTGATGCAGGTTGAACGGCTTAGTTGGAGTGAACTGGTACCTCGTATAGGAATAGAAGAGGTTGACGACGAGCTCGATAAGCGAACTACCAGAATATTTGACGATTTACGTCAAGTGGCCTCCGTTTGCAACGAAGATGGAACTTTAATTGTAAGACTAAAAGCACAGAAAAATGAATTTATTTTGGCACACGATCAATATCTCAGGACAGTTCTACATCTTGCAGCCGGCATTGGACACACAAGAATTTTAAAGTGTTTGGTACACGCAGGAGCACCTATAAATGTTCGTGACGGAATTGGCCAGACTGCTCTAACTATATCGCTTCACAAAAATAATGATGCAGCGAGTGTCTTTCTTATCGAAAGTGGCGCTTGTGTTCAGGAATACTAGTACGAAAATACTGTTTCTCCACTGGCAATTGCAAAGTTGCACAAAAATGATGACATCATCGAATTTCTGGAGAAACGTATCGGAGACGAAAAAAGAGTGTTAGATCACATTTCTAAATTTTTTCCTAAGAAAATTTCTGGTTCACCCATGGATATGAATGTTGATCATGTCAACCATAGATATAGGAGATCTAGATTACTAACGCATACCTAGCGCAGGCGGGGCCTACATGATAAATCCAAGATGGCGGTACAACAGGGCAAAAAGACTATAGATTCTATTATGAAAATCAGGATTTTTGCATTTTTTGCCGTCGCATTGTTTCAAAACTTATTCGGTCAAATTTTATGGTAAAGAGAAACTTACCGCGAAGATTTTGAGCATATATATGATTGAATTGGATGAAAACTCGCAAAATTATCCAGCGATAAAAGTTCGTGTGAAATGGTCAGTTGGTTAGTTGGAGCGTTTTATTGCCAGAAATACTGTGCTATGTTAACATCTAGCCTTGTGAATGGTGTTTTATACTTGCATCTCTCATCATCATCTGCTCTGTTCTCATAATTATGAAAAATGAACTGTTATGTCCCCCCCCCCTCCCCTGCTTGTAAATAAATAAATAAATATTGTAAATAAATAAATAAATGAGAGCGCTGGATGAGGGTCTATCATCTATGGTCTGTTATAATTTGCTTTTTATGCAAATAGTGAGCAAAAATTAAAGCAAAACTGTACAAGTTACATATATTGTACTATATCAGTACTATACATGAACTTTTATCGCTGGATAATTTTGCAAGTTTTCATCCAATTCAATCATATATATGCTCAAAATCTTCGTGGTAAGTGTCTCTTTACCATAAAATTTGACCGAATAAGTTTCGAAACAATGCGACGGCAAAAAATGCAAAAATCCTGATTTTCGTAATAGAATTTATAGTCTTTTTGCCCTGTTGTACCGCCATCTTGGATTTATCATGTAGGCCCCGCCTGCGCTAGGTATGCGTTAGCAATCTAGATCTCCTATATCTATGATGTCAACCATAAAGAGAATTTTTCACGTGCACTGAACATAAACATTGGTGACCAAAAACATTGGTGACCATAAACATTGGTTGTGCTAACGCTTGCCCTGATATTTATGGTTGCCACACCCCAGGTACGGGAGATTTTCATAATCGCGGATACCTTAATGAGACAGTGGCCAGAATAGGAGGGCAAGGAGGTTTTTGGCATGTCGTCGAAAACGTTATGAAGAGACCAACAGTTAACCCGACGTCCTTCAAGCAAAAATTCAAGGACAACAATTATAACAATAACGAGGAGGCAATATACGACTACGAGGACGGATTGAGTATCGCTATGATTAAAGAATTTGAAAAATCCTCCTTTTTTCCAAGTAAGTCCGATCTGGCTTCTTGTCTTCTTAAAACTGGTAACCGCAATAACGTTTTATTGTCAAAGTTTAAAGAGTGGCAGGAAAGCTCAAAAGGAGACGCGATATTTAACTACCAAGTAAATCTTGTAAATGATCTTATTCCACTAAGCCGATGGTACAAAGAATCAATTAGAAATGGCAATGGTCACGCAATCGAGGCTGTGTGGATGCTCTGTC